GAGCCGAACCTTCAACATACTCCTTTTGGTCAGACGGCAGTTTTAAAATATCAGGACATCTCTGAAATTTGTCCTCAATTTACAACGACTACAACTGAAAAGGAGTCCATCCTAAAACCAAACTCATAAACTATATAATAAACTCAACAATAACTAAAAATAATGAAACTTAAAGTAAGCACAGCACCAGGGAAGTAGGACGGCCGACCTTTCCAGTGCCGAAAGGCTAACAAGGCTATAAGTCGATTTTAGGATTTTTGTACGCCTTATGAAAATTTTGTGAGTTCGAGCCTCGGGTAGCACACCACCTGGGATTGGATATGTGTGGCTAATGACGGTTTATAAGCAAAAAATGACATTCTAGCTTCCTCTGTATTCGCTGGTTATGTACATCTGCCTATAATGTGCTATATATTGAACGGCTGCTACTGGGGTTCAAGAGAGAACCTGAGGCACAACCGGACGCGTCCGTTCCGTAACCGATCAGTAAATGTCTGTCTTCTACAGTTGATATTCTCGATCGAAACCATGAAACAGACGTGGTCTTCGTAAATGGACCGTCGAGAGTTATGAACAAGAGTTTTGAAGGGGGTCATAAAGACTTTTGAAACGTTTAATCTTCCAATCTAGATTGTCATGTGACTTACAAGTACGCACTCAGTCCTTCGATCGAGCAAAACCAATGTTGATTTATGAAATCATAATGACCCAGACCCAGAAAGCAACCTTCTCGCATTTTGAAAGACCTTGATATGGATCATGCTTCCACCTAGATCTGAAAAGGAGGTAAAGGACATGATGATCTCCAACAGAATCTACCTTCGATCCCTGCCCCAAACGATAACTGAGAAGAAGCTGTATATGTACTTCTCCAAAGTTGGGACTGTTACAGACGTTCGCATTCTGACAGACGTAGTCTGTGTCGGTCGTGGTTTCGTCGTCTTCCGTGACCCGTACGCGGTAATGAGGGTGGTGGAGGCCCAGCCACACAAATTTCAAGGGAAAACTATCAGCGTGTCTTGCAAAGAGGCATTTAAACCTAAAAACACTGGGTAAGCATTCAATGTATCGAGAAGACTATTTGCAATTAATACAAGTAGACGATCATTTAGTGAGTTGTAAAGCTCGGCCATGCTCGCCGGAATCTGCAAAATACGTGAAGTATGACCTAAAGCAACTCACATAGGTTGTCGAAACCCTCCTAATATCCATTATTTTAGAATTCTATGCAAACAGACCACACACCAAATCTTTCAAATCTAAACATTAAAATGCAAAGTAAGTTTTCCGCAAGTCGATCAGCAGAAATGATAGTAATAAGGATAATATGCAACAATTGATATTTTCAGAACAGTTGTTGGTAGAGTGGAAGATATCGTGATTAACAATGGTGCAGAATGACGTTTGGGTAGCGGAGAAGGCAACAAACTCTTAGAGAAAATATTGTATGGTGCATTTTGTACGAACAGCATGCTGGTTAATTACAAATTAG